CTAGTGGATAATGAATGATGATCAGAAATTACTTTCTGATGGCGGCGGCGACGACGGCCTTGTTCAATCTGAAACCCCCCCTGCACTACAACCTCATCTCGATGAATCGCGTCTCGGTTTCTTGCTCTCTGGCCACCTCTGCTCTTACCCCTCCCAAAAGGAAAAGGAAGCTTCCGATTCTCCTCTTCGACGTTATGGACACCATCGTCCGTGACCCTTTCTACCACGACGTCCCGGCCTTCTTCCGGTGAATCCTTTCTGAATCTATCTATTTACTTTTACATTCTTTTCATTAGCTTTAGAGAGATTGATTGATTGATTGGGTTTTCGTAATTGCCAGGTTGCCGATGAAGGATCTACTAGAGTGCAAGCACCCCATGGCCTGGATCGATTTTGAAAAGGGCTTCATTGATGAGGTTCCAATCTCAACATCTCTGTTTCTGAATCATTTCTTCTGCTTTGGGATTCACTTTTGCGTTTGAGTTTCTGTAACCTCGTTTAGGAGGAGTTAGCAAGAAAGTTCTTCATAGATGGGAGAGACTTTGATTTGGAAGGTCAGATTGATTCAGTTTTCTTTCTATTGATTCCACCAATCCTTTTTATCAATTCTGTGTCTTGTTGATTTTGCAGGGTTAAAGGAGTGTATGAGATCAGGATACTCCTACTTAGATGGCATGCAAGAGCTTCTCCAAAATTTGAAAGCTCTCAACTTTGAGATTCATGCTTTCACCAATTATCCCATCTGGTTTCCATCCCTTCCCTTTCACCACTCCATTCAGCACTCTTAGCTTCATGTCTCTTGACTCTTGTGTTTCATAGGTACAAGATGATTGAAGACAAATTAAAGCTTTCCGAATATTTATCATGGACGTTTTGTTCCTGTAATGCTGGTACAACACACATCTCTTGCCGCTTTTACTACTTTTCTTTATTACAACTCCTCATGTGTTTTGTCTTTCAGGAAAGAGAAAGCCTGATCCAGAGTTCTATCTCGAGGTTGTTGGACATCTCGGAGTTGAACCTTGCGACTGTATATTCATCGATGACAGGTTAGCCAACTTTGTATCTTAGCCCTGAGGGATTGTCTAAAGAAACCCATCTTGACCTGAGGGATTGTCTGATACGCAGGCCTACCAACGTCAAGTGTGCAGTAGATATAGGGATGGGTGGGTTACGTTTTGAGAATGCAGATACGCTCATTAAGGATCTCTCAAATCTAGGGATCAACTTATTGTGATTGGATGTAACTGATACTTGTACTGCATCAGCTTTGTCTTTAGAGAAATACTCAAAAAGAGAATACATTGTTTTGGGAGTACATTGTCTTGAATTATAGTATAAAGCAACAAGAATAACAGAGAGAGAGTCCATGGGACTAGGGAGTGGAGGAGAGCACAAGGACATTAAAGAGGGAAGAGGAGGCGAGGAAAACGAAGGAGAGGAAGACTAAGAGGAGAGAGAGGGCGACGTGATTGCAGAAAGAAGAAAGGGTCTTGCAGAAGTCAGGAAGAGGAGTGTGTCTGATGCCAGTTTTGTTGAGGTTGGTAACTCCAGAACCGGCTGATCCGGCGCTCATCATCAAATAACCAAAGAGCTGCGTGCACACACAAGAGTACATGTATGTATGGGTTATACAATGAGATGAATAACAAATGGAGAAGGGAAAGATGAGGGACCTGATCGGAGGTGAAGCAAAGCCAAGCTTGGAAGCGGGATGGTGTGATGGGAGATCCGGTGAGGAGCCTGTAAACACTGAGACAGAGCTGGAACANGGAGTAGAGCACGGTCGCTGTGCATGCCCCTACCACATACCTTCACACTTAATGAATATTAGAATCAAAGGTTTTATTAAAGTGGTGGGCACAACACAATAATGTCATGTCATGCTGTTAGGTTCACGGGTGTGTTTCTGTTCACCGGAATTTCTGGCATCTGAAACACACATTGTTCCCCTTTTTTGTTTGAGTATGATCTAGTAATTTCTATAATGCATTCAGACAGAAATGGGGGGGGAGTTGATAAGAAGAATGGAAGAAGACTGACTGGTAGGAGGGAGAGAAAGACCACTTGGAGTAGAGAGTGAGCTTGAAGCCATAGATGTCTGCCACTCCCTCCTGAGTTGCCGTCAGCATCACCGCAATGGCCGAGGCTGAAGCAGCCAAGCAGCCTCCCCTGAGAGCCACCTGCACTC